GAACTCTTCAATCGGGTATTCTTCAAAACCCACCTCCATTTCTCCACTCGCTTTCCCAATGCCTCCATTCGCTGCTTTACGTCCAACGCCGTCGACAAAATCCGAGTCCAAAACCCTATTGTCGAAATGGACGGTACTTTTACGAAATAAAAGAATTAATTGACACGACTTTTACACAGATTATCTGTTCATTTTGTCAATACTAATTGATTTAACTTTTGTTTTATATCGGTGATATTAGGTGATGAGATGGCGCGAATCATCTGGAAAACGATCAAAGGCAAGGTCTGAACTTGGAGCCTTATTCTTGCGATGTTTTAGTTTATTATTATTGGTTAAGAGTATTATTTGTTCTTTTCTTTTGATGGATTGACTGTTATTGCAGTTGATATTTCCGTATCTGGAGTTGGACGTGAAGTATTTTGATTTAGGGATATTGAACCGTGATGCCACGGACGATAAAGTTACCATTGAAAGTGCTGAAGCCACCCTTAAGTATGTATAATAGATATATATCTTCCTGTGGATCTTTATTTGGGCGCTTAATGCGTATTGTTTTCAGAATGTTGACTTCATGTTTCGTTAGTTTAAATTGATAAGACCAATGTAAACAGGTGATTCCATTTTTTTTTGGTTGTTGACATCTAGTATGGACTATTGCGTGGGCTGAGGGCTGCTTTGATATGCACTGAGATTGAATGTAGTCAATTTCTCATGTTTGCTAAATCAAAGCTACTGCCATCTAATAGTTATATATTTATTTTTGGTGGCCTAGAGCTACTGCTCGAAGCTATACAAAGAACTTTATTTAATCTTTCTAGTACTTGGAAATAGAAAATTTGAAGAGCATATGAAAAGAAAGAATTTTTGCTTGTGCATTTTTAAAAGGTGCTTTGCACAAGAAGCAGTGCATTGAGATAATCTTACTTAGAAGGGAAGGGAAATCTTGAGCACTAGTATAAACTTCATTCCACTGCTTATTTACAAGAGAAGCACATTGAAGATAAAAAGAGCAGAAGACCCCCTACTTTTAGTAAATCACTTAGGTAACATTTAGGACTGATTTCCGTGCAACTTCTTATTGATAAAACAAGTCAATTATTGTAATTATCTTTAGTGGTTAAATCTACCTTGGACAATTAAATAGCATAAGAGAAACCGCTGTTCTTGAAATATTTAAGTCCTTCTTGTTAAAATAAATAGATAATAAATTGATAAATAGATTTGTTACGATAGAACCACTGTGTTTTGTACTGGATTCATTGTGTTTCATACAAAAATGACTGATGAATCTTGCTTACAACTGATGTATGTATGTATACACACAATGCATTCTCATCTTTTCATAATCTATTTTACAGGTACAATGTTGCTGTAAAATGTGCCACAATTACTCCAGGTTGGTTCCCAATTTTCTGTTCTCTCTTTATCTCTTGAATGTTAATTACTAAGGAAAATTAGTTTCATTATTGATTGATTGCTTTATATTTCAGATGAGACTAGAGTCAAGGAATTTGGCCTAAAATCTATGTGGAGAAGTCCCAATGGCACAATCAGAAACATATTAAATGGTCTGTGTAATGAACTTAGAGCCATGTTATCTCATTGCTAAGTGTAACCTTGCGATGATGTCCCTTTCTGATTAAAATGTTCACAATATTTTTTTCTAGGAACTGTTTTCCGTGAGCCAATCTTGTGCAGCAACATTCCCAGAATTGTTCCTGGTACTTCTACTTCTCCCTCTCTGTATATGTCAATAATCACCATTTATTTACCTTGATCCTTTTTCTGCAGGCTGGAATAAACCCATTTGTATTGGCAGACATGCCTTTGGCGATCAATACCGTGCCACCGATGCAATCATAAAAGGACCTGGAAAGCTGAAAATGGTTTTTGGTCAGTCCACTTTGTTGTAATTGTTGCAAGTAAATTTGCCAGAAGCTGTTTCTTTTGAACATACCATGCTTTACATGTTCCTTCTGTTCATTCCCAGTGCCAGAAAATGGGGAGGGACCTATGGAACTGGATGTCTATGACTTTAAAGGACCTGGCGTTGCCCTTGCCATGTATAATGTTGATCAGGTTTGTCTTTACGTAGCTCACCTGCATATTGAATATTTTCTTATGGCACTTTTATAGTCTTTTGCCTTGTCATCTGGATTTTTGTGAAAAAATTTCAGTCTATTCGAGCATTTGCAGAATCATCAATGGCAATGGCATTAGCAAAACAATGGCCTCTTTATTTGAGCACAAAGAATACAATTCTTAAGAAGTATGATGGCAGGTAATTTGTTTCAAAAAGCTTTGTCAACTGTTATCGAATTAATAAAATGAAATGTATCTGTATAATACCATTTACATCAATATTTCACTATTTCAGGTTCAAGGATATATTTCAGGAGGTATATGAAAAGAAGTGGAAGGAGCAATTTGAAGAACATTCAATATGGTTGCTTTTATATCTTTGATTTATAGCACCTTATGTGCCCATTCACATTGTTTTCTAAAGCATATATGCTTCCCCTAGGTATGAGCATCGGTTGATCGATGACATGGTGGCTTACGCCATGAAGAGTGATGGTGGATACGTTTGGGCCTGTAAGAACTACGACGGTGATGTCCAAAGTGATTTACTTGCACAAGGTGAATGCCTGTATAAATCAAGACATAAAAAATAGATTAATGTAGCTCTACTTTCTATATGATTTGCAATATCTGAACTAATCCTGTAAGTTAATTACGATATTGCAAGTCTTTTTAATATACATGTCTGTGCAGGATTTGGTTCTCTAGGCCTGATGACTTCTGTGTTGGTAAGTACTGCTTTTTTCTTTGAGCTTAAGGTGTTTGTTCATGTAAAATTGATACAGTCCATCTTGTTTGTTTGAAGTTGTCGGGTGATGGCAAAACATTAGAAGCAGAGGCAGCTCATGGCACTGTAACTCGTCATTATCGGCTGCATCAGAAGGGACAAGAAACGAGTACAAACAGTATTGCTTCTATATTTGCATGGACAAGAGGATTAGAACACAAGTTAGTTTTGTTCCTATAGCACAATTACTAGATTTTTTTTCCAAGCCACCAATTTACTGCAGTTATTTGGATCTGTACAGTGGTCCATTTGTGGAGAATTTTTCTTTAGAATATTATCTTCTTAGTTAAGACAATCTGTGATAAAGATTTATCCACCCAGGGAATAAATGAACATTGTAATTAGTTGTTGGAAAGTTCTTTTCAATACCCTCAGTTACTTCAGTCCACATATTTTCTAATCTCATTGGTTATCACGAGTGTTTTATGCTTTTTATGAACCTGAGTTCATGTGCTTGCATTTAAGCATACCCTGATGCCTATAAACATCTTTATCAGGGCTAAACTTGACGGAAATGAAAAACTGTTAGATTTTGCTTACAAGCTTGAAGCTGCTTGCATTGAGACAGTAGAATCTGGAAAGATGACCAAGGATCTTGCCATTTTGATTCACGGACCCAAGTAAGTGGTACCTTTCATCTTTTGAAAATTGTGATGCTTTGAGGTCACCATCACGATCTGAATATTTGTAATTAAATATTTAATCGTTACTTTGGGATCTCCAAGGGAAAAAACTATGTATTGTTCGGGGAGCCTGCTGAAGTCACACCGCAACCTAACTAGATAATTTTCAACACTTTAATTAATCAAGGATTTCTAGCTTTTATTCGCTCTTGTTTGGGCGATTCATACCATTCATACATAGTATTTTGATATAAGATTTCTTTATCTGAAAGAGGCATTTGAATGTATTTTAAAATCGTTGTTCGAAGAGGATTCCTCATTCCTTTATCTCACTCAAAACTGTGCATATGGTTCATTTTCAGAGGGTACTAGGTTCTGAAATTCCAGTGCCAAGATTCCTGTCGAACTCTCTCATAGATGTTTAAGCGCGAATTACATTTATCTGCAGTTACTGATGCCTCTGGTGTACATGCAGGGTATCAAGAGAGTTTTACTTGAACACAGAAGAGTTCATTGGTGCTGTTGCACATAATCTCGAGTCTAAGCTCCAGGCACCGGCACATGTTTAATGTGACGATCTACAGTTTTTGCTATGGTCTAAGAAAGGCTATATAAGGGGGGTGGTGAGTGTATGTATGTTCCTTGTAGAACCTGACATGATTACGGGATTCCAAAAATATTGCAAAATTCATGACTAGGTGCAAGTAGGGCAAGATGATACTTACCCTTTTTTTTTATTATTGTATTCTACCAAACGTGTCTTTTAAGTATGTTGTATAGTATAAAGAATAATAAAAAAGAGAAGATGCACTTTTCCAAGAAATATGCAGACGGTGTGGTCAGAAACCAATTCTTTATATTATTCTATATACTAAAGTTTTTATGAAATAGACGCCTGGATATGATACAAAACAGTACACCACTCCAAATTTGACGCAGTTCGTAGAAAGAAAATCAATTTCGTTTTAAAGTTAATTGCTTTTGTCCTTTCCTTTTGATGCTTAATATAAAGCTGTATTCCGTTAAAAATGTCATGACAAAGTTTTAATAACTATTAGTCTACGTGAAGATTTAGCATTTACTATGTCAAATAACGTAACACTATTTAATTTTAATGATAAAATGGGTTTAGTAAATACTTTAATAATGAGGCTTGGTCCATGCAAGTGCGAATAGTGAGGGCCGGCCGATTTCTTAATTCCGGACCGTGGGCTGGACCAGGCTTCATTTATTTAGACCGCATTCAATTTAAAGGATAAAATTATCTCTACATCATTTTCCTTTCGAAAGTGTTACGCCATGTGAAAGGGGACTGCGTGAATAAAAAAACAACCGAAAATGTGGTCCACAGCCTACGGTTCAAAAATCAATTTGTTGGCTTCAATAATTTTATCCCTTAAATTGAATGCGGTCTAAATAAATATATCCATCTTTCCCCCAATTCTTCTTCACTTTGCTTTTCATTCTGCTTTAGGTCTCGAGAGTTAATCGGCGAAGACTGAGTAATGGCACTACCCAAGGCTAAGGAAATTATATCTACCAACCCCGTCGTCGTCTTCAGGTATTAATTCTCTTTATTAGACACGCGCAGAATTGATTTAGTGCGTCGGATTGGGAATTCGTTGTTTGGAGTGAGGCTTTGATTGATAAAATGGTTGGATCTGGTGTTTTTTTTAACAGCAAGTCATACTGTCCTTTCTGCGTGAGCGTGAAGCAATTGTTGACGGAGATTGGTGCTTCCTTCAAGGCTATTGAATTGGACGCTGAGAGTATGATCTGTCTATATTTCTTTCTCTTTCTTCATGTTCGCATGGATTGGTTTTAAAATTCATGATTGTTTACTTAAGACGTTGGAAGTTTTTATGCATGCTAAAATCTTTCATATATTGGTCCTGATTTCTCCGTAGACAACTTTACAATCTTATTCAGTGTTAGTATAATTCAAATTAATGTTACTAGTTGGTGGCACGATACATCCATTTATATTGAATGGTCTTTCTACGGATCCAATCCATAGGTACCAACGCTGCCTTAAAAATTATTTGATATGATGATTTATAGGTTATATCTTTCAATAATTTGAGTGCATGTAAATGATTTTGTGTCCTTGTCAATTTCTGTCTGCTATTGATATAGTATAGTTGTTGGAAATTGTATAAGTTGTTTGACAGGTGGGAAGTGTAAAGGAGGATATGATGATTAATTTATAAGTAGTTGACTCTACGGCCTGTGAACTTCGTATAATAACCAACGTTACCAACCTTTGACCACCCCGGTTCTCTGGAGGCACGTTTCCCTTTTTTGTAGAATAATGCTATTTATTTCCATTAGAGAGATGATCTTCTTTCTATGTGGAACGTGATTTGCTATAAAATGACAGTCAATTAAATGTACTAATATGAGTCACGCTTTATTAGTCCTATCATTTAATTCCACATCCTATAGTAATTATCACCGGTGAAGATAAATGGCATCGCTCTTTTCTGTAATCAAAGCACCCCTTTAAGCTTTTGGGCGATTTAATAGCAAAAGAGGGCATTCATCACCATTATTACACGCGTTAAATATTTTATAAAGACGAATTATTGGTTTGAATAGGTACCATTGGGCCATTTCATGGATGCTGATTATCCGGAATTACTTAGTGCTTGTTCAGGAAGTGTTTATAAATGGATAGAATTGATTGGTGAATAAATGAGTAGTACTTGTGGATCCTATAAAATGTGTGGATAAAAACTGGTTTGACCCCTTTTTTGACTGTTTAGAAATGGTTTATAAACACTTGCGAAACATGTGCTTAGTTATGTGCTGTCCCTGTTTTGTTTTATCTGCAAACTGCTTTTCAATTTGTTGGTTTCAGGATAAATTCTACTTGACTAGCTCAAACTGTGCTTAACTTATCCCATTTATTGAGCAAGGTTGAAAAAATATACACTGAACTTGTAATTCATGATTCGTGAATGCAAAATGCAGCAGGACTTGGTAAAACTTATGATTTCTCGCTGATTTGAAATACACTTGCGGGGTAGGTACAAGTATTTGGGCAGGTGAAAATTCATTTAGTGGTTATATGTTCAGCTTGCTTCTTTGCTTGTGCATTTTTTCTATCATTATCCTATTAGCAAATAATGTTATGTGATTTTAAGTTTTGTTGAGTGAATGCACATTTGTTTCGTAACTATGAAGGTGATGGAGGTGATATACAATCTGCATTGGCTGAATTGACTGGACAACGCACCGTTCCGAATGTCTTTATCAGTGGGAAGCATATTGGTGGCTGTGACGGTATTGTTGTTATCTTTCCTTGTAAAAGTGACTGGACAACCTTATTTTCAGTTGGTAATCCTTCTTACTGTTTGTATTTTATTGCATGCTTTTGCAGCAACAACTGCTATGCACAAGGGTGGAAATCTTGTCCCGCTGCTAACTGAAGCTGGAGTGCTAGCCGAATCTTCTGCTTAAAGGACTCTAGAATTGCCTGTCCTGCTAAAGATGGTGAACAATGATAAATAAATGCTCCTTATTTATTTTTATGTTGGTTTTATCAATGTTATATTCTGCTGAAGTCTTTTCTTAAGTGTTAGAAGTTGTGGATTGATATGATGTTTATCATTTAATGTGCATGTGTGCATCAGTTCTAAGATAAATTTACATTGTCATTAGTCTGTGTGCATTGGAAATTTTTTCACTTATTTCTTTTCGGATTAATAGTCTGGGAAGTCCTCGGATTACAAACTAGGTGCTAATATTTTTTACAGGGTAAAATGCCCATGCATGAGTTCAAATTTGCTGTCGCTGTGAACCTGTCCCTTTTTCCCATTTCTTAGCCCGAAAATTACAAAAGAAAAGAAAGAAATCATAGCAGGTAGTAGCCATTACCATTGCTACTATGAACATCTCCAATCCTAAAACTCCAGACCACCTTAGGACCAACAATGTATCCTTGCCAGAATGAAAGGTGATGTGAAGCTCATTGGGAGGCTGATGGGGTGTGTGCAAGGGAGTGGCTTGTGGTGTGTCGGGGAAGGGGAAGGGAGTTTCTTTTCCTTATATATTTTTTTTCTTTTTGGTTTACAAGGTTAAAAAGTGTTTATCAATACATAATGCCTAAAAAATTGCTCCAAAAATTGAAGGCTAGGGACCTAAAAAAGAAATATTGTTGGTACGGCTTGGGAATGCATGAGCAATATTTTTCCTATACACGGTTAAGCATGTTTGGGTCTCGACTGAAAAATTCATGGGCAATAGTTAGATTTTAGACTCAGTGAAATTCGGTTACCGTCCTAATTAGAAATATTTTAAAGAGAAGACTAGCGATCGTTTGGATTCAAGGTGAAATCCTTGAGTTATGCTATTTGTACAAATTATTTTACCAGAATCAAATTGTCAGTATGATTTGACAAATTGTGATTAGATGATTAAAAATTGTTTTTGGCCCAACTACCAGTAAAATGCTGCCAAGTGTTAATCTGACACAATTCTGGTAAAATCAATTTGGTAATGTAGGATAACTCGAAATCCTTATCTACGTTAATTTAATTTATGAATGCGACCCACTTAATCGGTTTCATCTCTAATTAAATGTATGGATATGTGATCCACTTATGACCAATTAAATGCCATCATGAATAACATTACTCTAATTAAAAGGTAACCCTTTCTTGCAAGGAAAAAGCTAATATCTCCATATTTTCTGTGCCAAACAAACATCTGAGAAGAAATGCTTTCCATTTTGGCAAATAAATCACCTATCTTTTCCAATTATAACAAGAATTGCCACAAAGAAAATTGATGAATATCAAAGGGAACCGTTCCAATGATACAGCAACTTTTTGAATACATCCTTCAGTGGCAGATCATAAGAAACACCTAATATCGGATGGTGGTCTTAAGGGCAAAACTGATATGACTGAGGGAACCATTTGGACAATACCAAATGTTTTATCTTCACCAGTAATACAAAGATAGCGTAACATGGGATATGCATCAGTGCCACCACCAAATACCTGCCCATCATAGTGCACAATGTTAGATATGACTAGTCGGCATACCAAATAAAATATTAACTTTTTTTTCTTTCTTAACACGGTTAAGGGCCATCCAATCGTCCTGACCAAACATTTTACAAGAGATCAAGTTTGATACATTGTAACTATGACTACAGAGAAGATATAGCGACCCACAAGCAGCGAGTGGAACCCCTTTAACACTATTTGAGTAGCAAATATGGGTACTGCCATGCACAAAAGAGCTTTCGGAACTTGTCATTCAAGGACTATATGGAAGTCATAACTGTATCCATAAATGCCTAGATGCTGATAAACTTACCATAAAGGAGCATATTTAAATGACAAGTCAAGGATTGGGTACGGCCACCTGAAACCAGGATAAAACCCAATGAAACGTGAAATAAAATGCTTCCAATGTAAATTAATAGAAGAGAAACCGAAATTACCAAATTGATACACATGCATGAATAATCCATTGGAAGATGACATAAATAGACGTCAACCAAACGAAGAAAGAGATCCGGTACCAAGGGAACCCCTAAGAAGATTTCAACACTCCCAATAAATGAAAATTAATAGAAAACTTAAATAATAAACGTGTACAAAAAATGGAGCAGTAGCTTACCAAGCTGTTGAAAGCTGTATCCCCAAGGAGTAAGATCGCATTGAGTGAATGAGCTACAACCGTCAACTGGCCAAAAAGGAAGACATATTCATAAATTGGGCAGCAGAAAACCATCAACACAAACAGGAATGAAATACATGAAATGATTATATGAATTTTTCGAATAAAAAGCATCGTGTGGCTGAAAGAAAAGAGCATCGTTAGCACCCACGACTATACAAAGCAAGAATTGATGACTGGAAACAGATTGGAATGTAAAATGCTATATTTTATTTCATATATGCTTGTGGTTAGTTTAACTTTCATTAGTTATAAACGAAAAGTTATCATTCAAAAGCTGGTTGGGGTGCCAAAAGTTAAACTAGAAGAAACTGGTAAAGTTAAGGGTCCTCCCATATAATATTTTACCCAAAAGAAACAGTTCAACACTATAAAAATACCATACATTAATAAAATATCATGCATGAGCCTATAATCATAAAACAAACAATGACCGCTGCAAGATGAAATCTTTAATGTTTTCACGCTACATTATATCGTAGGGAGGTTGCAACAGAATGGTGCCATGCAATTCCCATTCAGAAATATAAGCACTGCCTGGCCCAACTTGCAAGTTGCCGAGACAAAGTATAAACGCAGTATATAAAGTGAAAGAAAAGGATCCTTCCACCACTACCCTCGCACTCCCAAGGCATGCACAGATAAGGAAAAATAAACAAAATAAAGAAGTGAATGTATTTACATGCACACACGACTATAAACTGGAAAAGTGGATTCAGTTCTTGAGACATTGATACAGAATATCGTTAATGTATTTTCAGAAACTGCTCCTTTTTTAGTTAACTTGTCAAAGATAAAACTTTGTTATGGCATTTTGGAAACTATATTGCAGACCCACGGGTCTACAAATTACTACCAAGGAAAAAGAAAAAAGATTATCTTGCTCTCATAAATCTGGAGCCATTTGTGGCAGGAGAATTGATCAGTAGCAAACATTTGGAGTGTAAGAACTATAGTAAATACAAAAAGAGAAAATTGTCGGTTCCTTATAGTCATTTATTTATTTCTCTTTTATATCGTGACAACTCTTGCTCCCCCTAACTAAATGAAGAAACTGCATCTTGTCTGTCCATATAAAACTCATTACAAACCTAAGAGAGAATGAAGCAACTCATGATTTTCAACTTAAGTGGGGATAAAATGATCTAAATTTGCTGGTAGAAAAAGAGCCACCCGAGTCCAGTGTTTTAATTGAAACAGGGGGGATCGATAACAGCACAGAAGTAGGAAGAGCCATGTTTCGAAGTTGCATCTAACCAATATGCATAGTTCACCTCTTCAGGTATGAACATGTGCATGACGGTATCCTTCTGCAAGGATATTGCATAAAATCCTGCTACATAGTAGGTCACAGGCAAATGCTTCTTTAAATGGTGCCTCGCAAATCAAGGATCCTCTCATAGTACGTTATAGGCACAAATATATGTAGATACAGGCATATACTAAGTTTGAAAGGATGCATGTATGGTCCTAGATAACTCAATAATCTTTAAGGATGGAAAATGAAGAGATTATATAAAGTACTTACAAAATTCAGTTCATAATCTTTGATGTGAAGAAAGGGGAATATTAGAGTCCAATAAAGAGTATCAGTAATAGATACCGCGCCTGCAGTCATCTGCTCATCAGAAGTATGCGTTAGAAGATGTGATGAACTTGCCAAAGAATTATAGGTGCAACCAAATATAACGTTATCTGGCTTTTTAGATGTATTAGTATTAAAATATGATACCTGGAATAAAATTTGAAACAGGTATCCGCACAAGCTAGCAGTTCGCGAACAATGTTGTTCTCCTGGACATTCCAATCTATTTGGTGATTTGACTCCAGTTTCATTTACTCCACGGGCAAGAGGCACATATAACCCTTGCTCCACCTCCTCTGATACAAGGTAGTCGCTGGATCTATTTGCTTTGTGATGCTGTAAACATCCGTTGATAGAAAGCAACAAACCAAACTACACAAGAAACTAAAAAACCTAAGATAGGAAGAGATAAATTTATAGAATTGGATAGTACTCTGCCTTGAAGAGAGACTGCAACCACGTCACAAAGTTTAAGACAGTAACTTCATGGACACATTCCATATATATGCTAGGAACAATGTAAAGAATGAACCATACCCCAAAATAGATGGTGACTAAAGTAAAAGCCCACCTGCATGGAGCCAAAAGAACATGTAATTTCAAAACAATGTCCATGAGTTAATCAAAAGTACTCAATACCAAAGATTCCGGGGGACAGATACTTCATACATTAAGAAACTATGCATTTTTGTCAACAATGAGTGTCACCAAAGAAGGCCTCAACTCACATTTGACTTTGTATCAATTTGTCAGCAACCCTACATTTATCAGTACTCCAGAAGATGAAGATGACTTACTGCGTATAGTATAAAAATAATTCACCACCATGAGCGGCAACATCAAAACTGAGGGCAACTAAAAGCAGACAGAATGCTGTCAATCGATAAACCACCAAATAAACTGGGTGAATATCTTTTAGACACGGCTTCCAAGACTCGTCATAATGCAAAATCCGTGGTCTCTCCTGCTGCATTTCCCCTCTTTTAGATTCAGAATTGTCTGAACGTTCATATTTCCATATCAGAAATGATGCAATGAGCATCGATGCCAAGACCCATATTGCACATAGCAAGAATCTCCCATTCAACCAATAGCTTGGGGTAGTAGTATCTTCACTCACCAGCAGCCGCATTCTGTTACATCTTAGATACACTTTATGTTACCTTCACAATGTTGCAGTGATTTGATTAACAAAATGCTATCTAGTTACAAAAACATGCTCCACAAGAATGACTTTTTACTTGTATGCCTCTTGAACAAGTTGCAGAAATATCCAGAGACTTCCACATAAATTTTCCAAGAGATGAGAGAAAATAACACGTATAGTCTTACTTCCTGAGTGGGAAATCAAGATTTGAGTAAAACAAAGAAATTAGTCTTTTGTGTAGTCTTCGCATGTAGGTGTATAATAAACGCACTGCACAGTGCATAGAATCTGACTGATAGAACAAAGACATCTAGAAATCAAATAGAAAAAAGAGGAAAAAAAAAGTAACTCCAGTAATAAATATTAGTCTTAACAAAACAAGTTATAATATATACAAACGAGCAACAACTAAACATAAAAGCTCCAATAGATCTATTCCAATCTGATTGAAAATAATTGAACATAAGCACGTGCATACTAACACATGCTCGGCTTCTGTCACTACAGATTGTTAAACCAAAGCAACGATCTACCCATTCTACACGAATTTCCGTTGTTCATTTCAAGATACATGTCACATACGTAAATCAACTGCACTATCAAGTTAAACCCAGATCAGCCTCTATACATTCATATTACTCACACACACATAATAACAAGCATCTGGCACGCACTCAATTAAAAGCAGAATCACATTATTTAAACATTAAACATATCAAAATAATAAAGAAAAAAGGTACCCGCTACTTACAGAAATGAAATGAGGAGAAATCGGATTGAAAATTACTGCGAACTGGCGAGAATATTAATGGGCAATAGGGGTTTGATTTGCGCTGGGAAGGAGGAGGAATTGGATTTGATTACAGAAAGGCGTGCTTGGTTTGACCCCTGAGTAGTATTCTATTTTATTTTCATGGCTTCGGTCGTTGAGTAGATTAGATAGTATAAGATGTGGTCTGGACCTACAATTTGAGAGGTGTAAGTAGAAACCAGAAACTCCACATGGATCACGCTCGTTTCCACTTCAAACTCAAATTATGAGTTCGTTCGACGTGACTTGAAAAAGTTAAAATCTAATAGGCCATATATTGTCAAATTTTTCATGAAAAATATCATATTCGAGGAAAACGAAATTCGTTTTGATCGTTTGATTGCAACGTGGGAATGTGAACCGAATCTAAGGTACAACCACTTTTAAGTTACATTTCTTTGTTTTCATGGAAAACAAATTCTTATAAATTTGATGAGTTTTTATTTTCCAACTAAAATGAAATTGAAATTCATTTCCACATTTACCTATCAAACGAATCTTTATTCACGTTAAAAAGTTATTTTAAAACATATTTTTTTTAAAAAAATTATTATTTTAGAGAAATTTGATATAAACGACATGAAAAAATAAAAGTAAAGGATTCTGTCAAACGGACCTAATTTGTCCTCAGTGACAAGCAAAAACTTGCTACTTTATTGACTGAGTTCGAGTCTATTTCGAGGGATATGAGTGAAATAAAAAAAATAATAATAAATAACGTATGTCGTGTATGACTTTTTAAAAGTTTTGTCTTTGAGGCTAATAACCTTACACTGAATTTGTTTAGATAAATATCTTGAAAGTGCTTTTGAAGAAATCTGACTTAAAGATGGAAGTTGTTCAATAAAAAGTAGAATAGAAGATATTCTAAAAATACTCTTACTACAAATTCACTTAGAAACTATGATGAAAGCTTGAATTTTATTAGGAAAGGTAAAAAAATCGGTTCAACCCAATATCCACGGGAGCAGGGGTGGACGGGGAGTGGGCCTAGGGGAGCAAGTTGTGAGCATACAAGAGTTGGACGTGAAAACAATCGACTAAGTGCCGCACAAGGACAAGCAAAAGTTCTTGTAACGTGACTACGTGCCCCCTTAGATTTTGAATTATTGAATTTTTTTTTTAAATATGGAAAAGCCAAAATGAAATTCCCAACTCCCAATCACTTATTCACTCCTTCCCGTCTCTCCCTTCCTACATTGCCAATCGTTCGTCCTTCCCGTCTCCCACTCTCTTTCGATCTCCCACTCTCGTCCCGACAGCGACGAGACGACGGCAGTCACGGCACAGCAGGGGCGGACATCACACACAGAGTTACGACTTACGAGTAAGTTCCATTTCTTCCTCTCATTTTCCGACAACTGTGGTATGTGTGACTGTCTCAAACTTACACTTGCCATTTTCATTTTCTCATCTTCTCTCCGCAGCTCTGCTCCAGTGCCACGCATCAGCTAAGCTCGAAAGTGCCACTGCCACACCCACACATGAAGCATCTACCGGCCACTACAGTCCGCGTTCCAGCCTCTTAAAAGTTCATGTGAGTTGTGATAGTGTTACGTTGCCATTGATTGTGTTATCTGATTTAGTATTTTGTGATTTAGGAATTTTTGATCTAGAAATTTAGGGATTTCTGATTATGGCTTGGATTTAGGGATTTTTTATCACTGATTTTAGGGGTTTCTGATTAGGGCTTGGATTTAGGGATTTTTTTATCACCGGTTTTAGGGATTTCTGATTAGGGCTTTAGGGATTTAGGGTTTTTTATGTGAAGTGATATAGGAAGATTGAAACTTGCTAATTCATGTGTTTGAAATTTCGTTGATATGACTTATGAGAAGAAGAAACTGATCTGGGGCTTCTAATGTGGTTATTTTTTGTTTGTATCAGTTAAGGACAAATACTTTAAAGGAATGTTCGAGACAAAAATGATGTTGATGTTGGAAAAGTTGGAGATGTCAGAGAAGTCGGGGATGTTGATGTCGCACTTCTTATCGCCGATCCTGGATTGAGAGTTCCAATTCAGAATTATGATGTTAATGATCGAGACGTAATTCGAAGGGCATACCTGCAAAGGGGTCCACGTCAGCCTCGCAATCATATGTTTCCAACCACAAGAATGGATAACAAAGATAGACGATTTTGTGTTTCGTGGTATGATGAGTATCCTACTTGGTTGGAATATAGTATAGCAAAAGATGCAGTTTATTGTTTTTACTGCTATCTTTTTAGTTTGAGTGGCGATTCCTTTCTTAATGATGGATTCTCAAATTGGAAAAAAAAAAAAAAAAGAATACCTTAGAAGACATGTTGGGACTCCAAGTAGTGTACACAATCAGACTCGAGTCAAATATGAATCGTTCAAGAATCAAAAGAAAAGTATTCATTCATGTCTCGTTAAGCAATCGCATCAAGCTCGAACAGATTATCGAATTCCACTGAGTGCATCAATTGATTGTGTTCGATTTCTTCTACGACAGGGATGCCATTTCGTGGACATGATGAGTCTGAAGATTCAAACAACCGATGCAACTTTCTTGAACTATTGTATTGGTTGTCTGATCATAATGGTGAGATTAAGGCCGTTGCTTTGAGAAATGCACCAGAGAATTTCAACTTAACATCACCACGAGTGCAGAAAGTATTGTGAGTGCTATTGCTTCTGAATGTGTAAATGTGATTATGGAAGATGTTCGTGATGGTTTCTTTTCAATTTTAGTTGATGAATATCGAGACATTTCAGTTAAGGAGCAAATGTCGGTTGTCATTCGTTATGTCATGTATTGGAATGTTTTGTTGGTGTGAAACATGTTTCTCAACACATAGCTTAAGTTTATCTAATTTGAGAGGTCAATGATATGATAGAGCTAGCAACATGTGAGGTGAGTATAATGGCCTCAAAGCACTTATTTTGAGAGATAGCCCAAGTGCATACTATATTCATTACTTTGCTCATCAATTTCAATTAGCTCTTGTAGCTGTGGTACAGAAACATCCAAAGATTGAAACTTTCTTCACTACAGTACACAAATTGGTGAATGTTGCTGGTGGATCGGTTAAACGGGGTGATCTTATTCAAGAGAATCAAAGGTTGAAAGTTCTTGAATCACTCAATGTCGGTGAATTATCAAGCGGACGAGGTCTCAATCAAGAAACTACTCTAGATCATCCTGGTGATACATGTTGGGGCTCTCACTATAGTTGTTTGATTAACTTGATTGTCATGTTTTCAACCATAGTCGACGTTGTTGAAATGATTGCTGCTGACACTACAAGTATCGGAACAAGAGGTGATGCTTGTATTTCATTTGAGTTGATGTTAAAATTTGAATTTGCATTTCATCTACATCTTATGAAAAAAGATTTTAGGGATTTCAAATGAATTGTCAAAAGCGTTACAACGAAAAGATCAAGATATTGTCAATACCATGAAATTTGTGCAATTATGTAAAGCACAGCTCTAAACAATGAGGAATGATGGATTGGATTCTTTTTTTGAAATGATTTGTTTATTTTGTGAAGTTCACGAGATCAATGTTCCTAATATGGATGATATGTTCATAACTCTAGGTCGTTCACAGTGTGAGACGGTAACAAATTTGCATCATTATTGTGTGGAAATGTTTTATGGTATCATTGATATGCAACTTCAAGAGCTGAATGATCGTTTTTCTGAAGTAATACTAACTTGCTCCTTTGTGTTGCGTGTTTGTCTCCATATAACTCATTTGATGCTTATGACAAGAATAAAGTGATTCGACTATGTCAATATTATCCGGTAGATTTTGACGCAGTAGATATCTTAGAACTTGATGATCAATTAGATAAATTTATTCTGGACATGCACATCTCTGAAGATTTTGAAGGATTACAAGGCAAAAATAATCTTGTATAGAAGTTAGTTACGAAAAATAAATATGAAGTGTATTCATTAGTCTACAAGCTTTTGACATTAGCCTTAGTTCTTCCCGTGGCTACTGCTACAGGTGAGAGATCGTTTTCTGCGCTGACTTACATCAAAAATCATCTGCGCAATCGAATCGGAGATCAATGGTTGAATGATTGTTTGATTGCCTATATAGAGAGACGTATTTGACAAGATTGAAAATGATATAATTATAAAACGTTATCAAAATATAAGAGCACGTAGAGAACAATTGTGATAAGATATCTCTTACGTTAATTTTTTCATCACTTTTTGAAATTGTAATTGTGCCCCCTATCTTTTTTCGTCTGTGTCTGCCCCTGCACTGGGAGAATGGAAAATGTAGTCTCTGTCCCGTTTAAAGTTAATTTCAAATTCAAGTTTTTTATCAAACAAAAATAAAAAAATTATCACTATTTTTAAAGAGAATATGAATTGTTCTTAAAAAATAAAAAGTAATAATATTTACTAATTAAAGACAGAAAAATAAAAGCAAAATAAATAAAAATAAAAAAATAAACGAGATGATAAAGGGGGCAAGGGTTTCTCCCGTCCCGATCTCACCTCTAACCTACCTCGTCCTGCTTTAATCGAGTATGTGAATGGGGTAAAGTGACGAAATATTCAATGGTACGGGGGTGGGAATAACCAACCCGTTTCATACCCGTCCCGTTATTATCCCTAAATTTTACTTAATCTAAAGTTAATTTTATTTCAAAATGATCGTTTGGAATTTAGGAATGAATTGAAGGTTAAATTTGCACTTATTTTTATTCTAAATGCCCCATCAACTATCGAACTATTTATGTAGAACAATTTCCATAGGGCACTTATAAGTGTTGCGTTGGCAGCACTTGTATGGTGCTTCTTCTTTTTTGTGTGTGTGTGTGTTTTGACAACGATGAATGAAAATTTGCAAAGTGTTAATCTGTAAAAGTTCTATGAATTTATTTTTTGTACATCTAACATAACCCATTTACATAACCAATCACAAAAGATCAAGCATTACATACTTACAAGGACCCACTCCATTACTGAGCTAATTATCCGTCTTACTAGCCATCGGTGGCATGTCCTTTTTTCCAAACTGCATTTGGATTGTGAATCATCAAAACATTCTTTACCAGATGAAGTCTTCTGCAAGCTTCAAGATGTTGCAGCAGCACGAGGATTAGTGACGTCTTTTAAATCCTACGGTTAGGAAGGAGAGTTAAACTCGAGAGATTAAAATGATTTTGGGGAAAAAATGCGTTTTTAATAATGTTTTAAAATCTAATTGGATATGTAACCGAAAAAGCTAAAGGTTCAGTGGTCAAAATGTTTAATCAAAATCGATCGGAATCAAACGGGGTCAAACCGATTGCATAGAATAATTAAATACATTATTGAAACATTATAAAATTTGTTGAAGCCCAATTGTAGTCCAACTATTCTAGTTTCAAACCTAATTATGCAATGAGCAAATATATTACTTTATAATTTGATATAATAATTAATTAATCAATTAATTATTAATTTACTACTTAGAGAAAACAATAATTTAAAAAAGGAAAGTGATATTTTTAACCCAAAAAGTGAATTTTCTTTTGTGATGAGCCACAACAGAAGAATAAATAATGGGTCATAGCCTCAAATTTAAGGGAATTGATATTTGTACCCGAGGGGTTGACAACCCCCCTCATCGGCCCCTCACAATAGTGGGGGGCCCACCTGTTTTTAAAAAAGGTGGGCCCCCCACTATTGTGAGGGGCCAGTGAGGGGGTTAACCCTCCGGGTAATTGTAGCACATCTCCAAATTTAAATAAGAAATACTTGAGCTCCTTCACTTACTTCATTGTTAGAATTAGGGCAAACAGAGGTGCCTCCGATAGTAAAGGTGAAAAACTTTTCCGACGAGAGAAAGGGAAAAATACAAATAGGAAAAGAAAATTTTAAAGGAGAAATAAAGCAACTATCTCATTTCTACAGCATAGGTTAAGGTAAATTTCAAATTCAGAAAAAAACAATTCAAGAATGGTTCTCGTTTCAAATTATCTAACTGGCGGACTCATGAAAACTGTGTCCGGGTCACCAAGTCAAGGGTTTAATCGTCAGTTAGCGGGTTTGGCACCGATTTTTAAAGAAGAGGGTTTTAATGCGTAATCAGACCGGATTCTTTGTTGATTTCCAATTTTTTTTATTGAACCAGTCGACTAAGTTCGATTTTCATAATATTAGTTTTGAAACAATGATTTTTTTTGGAGATTTGGAGGGCGTGTGGTTAAAAAATAAGATTTTTTTAAAAATTTATCTGTAACATTATTTTATGGAATAATATGTTATTGAAAATAATTGTTGTAAAAATTGAACTCAAACCGGGCTTAAATTTGTCTTTCGGCTTATAGTTCAATAACACCGCCAAGTGAAATGTCTCATCCCGGGGATTTTTTCCGTGCGTTACAACTTTTAGGGAAAAATTGCAGCGAGCACCCTAGGCTTTATGAAAAGTACAAATGGGTCCCTATACTTCAAATGTGCACTTTTTCGAATGGCTAAATTTTAAATTCACATTTTGTAGTTTAAACGAAATATAAATAAAATGCAAATTAAAATAAGACCAACAATGGGTATAAGATCATAATTGTACTGTTATCGTAGAAATATTCACCTCCAAATGAATATTTTGTAATTTTTCGTAAGAAACTAAGTAATTGTATCACATGCCTGATAATTGATCTTTGCCCAATTTGCATAAGCTAATTACTCTGATTTTTCCTTCAAAGTAATTTCTATATCCTACTCATAATAGATGTCTAACGTTTCGCATTTTCACACACCAAAATTATTTGTATTATCGCATTTCTTCATTTCAAACCATTCATTGACCATTGTACAACTTGTGTAGAAGAAAAACTTCCTTTATCTTGTTGGAATCAAATGCTTCTCAGATAGAGCATTCAACAAGCTTCAACAATGGAGATCAAGTGGTTGTGGACAATTTCAATTGAACCACGCTCGTATTCCGTTCTTCGATTTATATCTTTTCATTGTTGGTACTTGACGATTATTTTTACGATAACTCAACAATTACATCTTATCCATTGTTTTTGCAATCTATTTATACTAACACAAATTCTCCTTTTTAAAATTTGAAATTTTACAATTCTCGTGCTTTATTAATGTCGATTTGGACGAAACCGTCAATGAAGGACTATGCTACACAAAATTAAAACGTTGGGGATTTTACTGTCAATATTTAAAGGTTAGAGACATATTTCCACTTTTCACAAAAGTGAAGTGCCCCCAATGCAATATTTCCTTAAAAGGAGTTGTAACGTATGAAAAGAAAGTCCTCGACTGAGAGGACACATGTCGCTCAGCTGTGTGTTTTAAACTGTAAGCTAAAAAGGACAAAATTATATTATGACATAATTATTTTTAATATTTTTTATTCTCAAAAGATTAACTCTCCTTCCTAACCGTCAGATTAGCTTCTCAAATTGACGGCCTTAACTCGCGACTCCAATTCCCTGTCCCATTCTTCTAATAAAGCCACTGCAAGAACATTTCACCACCACGACCACCACCCCTCTCTTTCTCTGCTAGTTTTTCTGTGTGTGTTATGCATGGATTCTAATTCAGGTTGTAGAGAAGATTTGGTTTCACATCGGCAAATTTTTGAGGAGTTAACTCTGTTCAATACACAGCCGAAGTGCGAGGATTTTCCGGTGGGATTTTCTTCGTTTTCTACAGTTTCACGCAGTCTCGACGCTTCTTCATCAAATCCTTTTTCGGGTTTTTCTGCTGATCCATTTCAAGCATCTTGTACTGGTAAGAAGTTCCAACAAAATCAGTTTGCCAAAGACGGTACAGAAGCCCATGTACATGGCCTTCAAACTAGAAATTTTTTGGATTTAAATTCTGAAGCTTCATTGAAAAGAACGGAGCAGTGCCGAATCAATGAGCCATTAGAGCTTAATTTGTGCTTGGTTTTGGACAATGAGCTGGAAAGGAGAACCCATTCGGAGAATAAAATTGAGAAGAGGATACAGATGAAATCGGAAACAAGAGTCGACAAAAAGCCCAGTATAATCAAAGGGCCATGGACTCCTGAAGAAGACAGGTATTTTTTTTCCTATCATTTTTATGCAACGATTTCTTTGATTTATTTACGTATTAAGATCCAATTTTTGGTAATAAAATTTTAGAAGTGATGACTTTCACAAAATAAAATCTTCTTGTCCTTCATTGGTACTTGAGTTTATATTAAAGATCAACCTAATTAAACCATTATATGTCGATTTATATTTCATTATTTAATCAACGTGAGATTTATGCTTTAACTTCGGTTTGTTTCCACTACTCTCAACAACAAAATGAGAAATTTGACCATTTTTTTTAAGAATAATGCTATGTGTACACCATAAATCTCTAACTTCGGTTTGTTTCCACTACTCTCAACAACAAAATGAGAAATTTGACCATTTTTTTTTAAGAATAATGCTATGTGTACACCCTAAATCTCTAACTTCGGATTGTTTCCACTACTCTCAACAACAAAATGAGAAATTTGACCATTTTTTTTTAAGAATAATGCTATGTGTACACCAAATGGTGTACACAATGCATGTGTACATTATTGTATACATATAGCACAACCCTTTTTTCAAAGAGCTATACTAGTGGTAAATAATTTGTTTTATCTAAGGGTGTCCACCCTCTCACATGGGGTGGCCCCGCATGATTAAAAAAAAAAAGAATTTTATTCATGTGGGGTCCACCCCATGTGAAAGGGTGGACACCTTAGGTAAGGCAAATTATGTACAAGTAAAATTTTTCTTTTTCAAGATAGTGGGGCCCACTCACAAAATGGTATTGCGGTTAGGCACTATTCCAAAGGTAAAAATTCTCATTTTTTTGGGTGAAAGTAGTGAAAACAAACAGAGGCTTAATATTCTTCGAACGATAATGACTTATAATCTTAAAATCAGTCGTGTTTATTTGATTCCTAATCTACTCAAATTGTTCATTTGAACTTAATGAACTCTAATATCATTTTTCACTTATCGTCGGTGCGCTTCCGAGGCTCCTCGATCGGGATAATTTTTAACCTACGTGAAATTCATCCTTTAACAATCTTTAGCTGACATCATCTTTTTTTCGAAGTGTATAATTTATATAATCTCATTTTTGCAAAACCAAAAATCAAGTTTACACATAATCTTATCTTATGTAAACCTTTACTTTTCATTTTTTTAATTGTAGATTATTGATGGAGTTGGTTGAGAAACACGGTGTAAGAAAATGGTGTGTGATTGCATGGAAATTTTTGGGGAGAACGGGAAAGCAATGTAGAGAAAGATGGCACAACCATATAAAACCCGACATCAAGGTTTTTCCTTAATCTATCTTCGCATTGTCTTTTTTGGGCTTTATTGATTTTTATTTACGGTAACAAATATTTCATTTTAGTCATTGCACACGTGTATTTCAAGAAGTGACACCTTTAACTGATGAAAATCTAGTCAACCGTGGCTGCTCATGGTGTTTTTTTTTTTTTTTTATTATAA